GATAATCTTACCGTAATACTTTTATGTACAGAATAATGAGACAAATCAATTAGTGTAAAGAAAAAAACAAATAATTGTTTTAAAATATACATTGTAAATAATTACATACTTTTTCTTAAAAACAATTATTCTGTACATAAAAGTATTACGGTAAGATTATCGAAAACTAAATATTTTACGAGATATTTTAATTTTTATATCAAAATATGTCAGATTAAAATATAAAATAACTCAAAAAGTACTTAATAAAAAAATACTTTATTATAATGTTTTGAAAAGCTCTCGAGAGAAGTTACAAGAATATGCAATAAAAAGTAGACAGTTCCATTTAAAAAATTGAAGGTGACCTTCACGTGACCTTCAAGCAACTATTCAAGGTCAAATTAATGACACCACCTTATGTCCCCCTCGAAACCATACAACTTTTGTCTGAAACATTTTTCTCTAAAATGCTTAGTTTTTCAAAGAAAAGGGGTGTACGGGTGGTCTAGGACACCCTGTATAATATTTATATGATGAACAATTGAAATTTTTGCTGTTTTCCATAATGTAAGTAGACATGGTGTGCTCTTGCGCATATTTTGTATTACAGCCAATCACTTGGCCATTTTTTGGCGGTAATTCAAATAAAATAAATATTATTTTATTTCAATATGCATACCACGCCAATAAAACTCAGTTTCACATGTAATAAAAATTATTTGTAATTTTATAATGATTCTTTGTATTTCTATTGCTTTTATATTTTATCTAATAACGTTGTTTTTTGCAATCGAAGCCAGAAAAATTTCTGAAATTCAAATAGGAATGTTCTATAGAAATGAGATTAAAGATTAAAGATAAAAGAATATGTTATTTATTAGCAAACCTTGGTCAATAATATTTAAAAGAAATAATACAATAAAAATCAAATGCATTTGCAGAGGTGGCGTAGAATTAAAAAAAAAAGAAAAAATCAAGGAAGACACACTACTTATATTATTAATTAATTTACTAAAAAAAAGGTGAGCTAGACGAATTAACATAAAAATTAAAGTAGGTTCATAAATAAAATAAGCAATAAAATGTACATGTTTGTGCATTATTTTTTATTTGTTAGTTTAAGCATTTTTTTTTGTTTACTTTTTTATTCCAATCCGTATAGTTTTTATTACATTCTTTGAGACAAATATGTATGTTCTCGTTCTCACGAGATATGCTACCACTTCTCTTGGTATCTTCTCTTGTAGAAAATGATCCATTTTCTTAATTGTCATATTAATAACTGTAGCAAAAATGAATATATCAATATTATATTGATATATTGTGAAATGGCGTATATATAAGGCCTGCGCGTTACTGTGCGTAAACTCATCCTAGTTATGAGCATAGCATGTCTACTTGCATCATGTTATTTTCAAAGCAGTGCAATTTTATATTTGCTATCCTATAGTCTCTCACAATGATAAACGTGCTGATAGAACCCTTCAAAAGCTGCGGCGTTTCCAGAGATGGTTTGGAGATTCTTCGTCTAATAGAAAGTTGCATGCATGCATGGATGAATATCATTTTCCCGCGAATTCACATGAGAAAACTCGCCGTTAATATCAATTCTGCGATCGACGATTGGTTGTCTTCGTTCACGAAAAAAGAGTTGCGTATGATAATGATGGGGTATGCACGTACGGGACGATTGGTCACCCTGACTCAATTGATCGCTGGATCTGTGGGAGGCATCTTATGGTTCGCATCCGTCTTCCTCAGTAATAAAGATAAGGTTGTCTTTAATCGTTATAAGATTATAATTGAATAAATTCATCAAAGCATCTTACGCTAGTAATAGAGAGAATATCTTATTTCTTTCGAGAAATTAGAATATGTGTTACATTTCTGTGGATATTTCGATAGGTCGCAACTGTAGATAACAACACCGCGTGGAATTTTGTCCTTCCTTCAACGTGTATGTACAAAGGGGTTTCATATTCCACGTATAAGGCACTCTTTGTTATGCAGATTATACAAGGATTTCTGGTATTAATATCCGAATGCGCATGCGACAGCTTTTTTTTCAGCATTACTATGCACCTTTGCGGTCAACTGGAGCTCCTTAGAATACAATTCATAGAAACCTGCAGAAAACGCGATGATGAGAAGCATTGTAAGAATATTTTCGGGCCACTGGTCAAAAGGCATTGTCAGCTGATAAAATTGACCAGGAATATAGAAGACGCTTTCAATATCAATATTTTGCTACGTCTTTTAATAATTAGCGTTGTTATTGCAGCTTCAGGTATATATTTAACATAATCATCTTAACAAATTCGTTGTTGGTTTAACCATTCAAGATCTTGAAGTGTGGCTTGTATAAGCTATATTTATTACATGACACAAAATCTTGTATAAGAACAATAAAGAAATTATAAAAATATTTGCAATACACACATTTATAATTAAATTAAATTTTTCACTAATTATTTTAAAATTCATGGCTATAAAAAATTTAGAGAAATATTACTTTTTAAGTTTTATATAATTCGCTGTTACTCTATTCATGTTTTACTAATAATAATTTTTATTCTCTTATTCTGAATCTTTTATACCCGTTAATAATAAAAATTAATTAATGAGAAATTTACTTTGATTATAAATGTGTGTACAACAAATCTTTTATTCGCGGTGCTCGGAATTAAATGCCCTTTTCGGGCCGATATCTGAGGCAACGCCTACGATTCCCCCACTACCGTTCGAGGCTCGACAGCTGCCGATCGCGCGGGTAACGCTGTTCTTCAGGAGAGTTCCTACATAAAAAATATTCTGGGATCGTATCTTTTGCCAAATCGTCATTAAAATTTTCAGAAATTTTAATATTTAATTGTTTATGAAAATAAAAATTATCTAGCAAGGATAATTTTAATGACGATTTAGCGAAAGGTACGATCCCAGCATATTTTTTATATAGGGACTCTTCTGAGGCACAGCGTAACACGCGCGATCGGCGGCTAGACCGTCGAGCCTCGAACGGTAGTGGGGGAATCATAGGCGTCGCCTTAGATATCGGCCCAGAAAGGGCATTTAATTCCGAGCACTTTTATTGATTTTTGTCTTTCTTATATAAGATAGACTATTATATTATTATATACATATATGTAAAATATATAATATACTAAGTATACAGGATGTCTGATAATAATCGCATCATCCGTAATGTGCAGGTAGAGAAGATAAAATCGAGGAGAAAAGTCCTTTACTATTTTGCGATTTTCGTAATAGCGAGAAGGGAGGAGCGCTCTATAAATAACAACAGTTACGTACGAGCGGTACATAACGATGGATTCTTGCGTTCTAGCAACCACATATCAATGGGTTATAGGTTGTCCCTTTTTACTGCGCGCTTATACTTATGTGAATTGGTCGATCTTTTCTAATTAATTTCTCAATAATTATTACGAAAATCGCAAAATGGTAAAGGACTTTTCTTTTCGGTTTCACCTGCTCTACCTGCACACGAGAAGTGATACGGTTATTATGAGACACCCTGTACATATATTGTATCATATATGTATATGTATATAGGGTGTCCAGAGTCAATTGCATCACCCGTCGTGTGCAGATAAAGCGGAATAATTTGAGTAGGAAAGTCCTTTACCATTTTGCGATTTTTATAATAATTATTAAGAAATTAATTAAAGAAGATCAACCAATTCGCGCGAATATAAGCGCGCAGCGAGAAGAGACAACCCAAAAGTAGGCACGCGACAAAGTTTTGGGAGGAGTGCTCTGCAATGACAAGTTACGTACGAGCGGTACATAACGATGTATTCTCGCGTCCCTGCAACCATATATCAACGCCGCCCATATCAAGCCGTTCTTTCTCACCGCGCGGTAATACTCGCGCGAATTGGCCGATCTTTTTTTATTAATTTCTCAATAATTATTACGAAAATCGCAAAATGGTACAGAACTTTTCTTTTCAGTTTGACCCAACCTACTTCCACCTTTTGTTTAGTCATTTGCTTTTCGGACACCATATATATATATATATATACAGGGTAGGCCATTTTAATGTATCCACTGAAATATCTTAAAATCTATAAGTATAAGACAAAAATATTTTAGACAAAAGTTGTATGATTCACAGGGAGACACATGATGAAAATATGGACTTGACCTTGAATGACCTTTTCAAGACCAAGTAAATGTGATCGATGTTTTCCTAAATGGAACCCCCCATTTTTTATTGCATATTCTTGTAGCTTAGCTCGAGAGCTTTTCAAAATACTATAATAAAGTATTTTTTCATTAAGTACTTTTTGAGTTATTTTATATTTTAATCTGACATATTTTGATATAAAAAATAAAATATCTCGTAAAATATTTAGTTTTCGAATATATTTATATATATACGTATATAAAATATATTCAATATGTGATTTTTAGGGGTAGGAATTATCCTGTCATTCAATAGTAACGATTACAAAGAAATAATAAAAATGGTGATATCTATTCAGTTTTATATAGTACAAACCTTTTTGTACACGTATGCCGGCGATATCTTGCAGAATCAAAGCGAATCGATCGTTTACGCCATATATAGCTCCACGTGGCACGAAATGTCACCCACTATGGTGAAAGATCTGATATTCATTATGATGAGAATGAAAATCCCTCTTCGGATCAGTGCCGGAAAATTTTTCTATCTCGCACGAACCACTATGACGGATATCCTAAAAACCACCTTAACATACATGTCGTTCTTACAAGTGACAGTTAATAAATAAAAAAGTCCTTGCTATTTTCAGTGTTACATATAGATATAAAAAACGATATATGTAGATAAGCAAAAGAAAAATATAATTATATTTCAGTATATTATCGTGTAATATTTTCATAGTTAATACATATTTGTTTATCATATATATTTTAAATGAGATTAGATCTATAATAATTTAATTTAACTAATATAAAAATTGTGAAAAAGATGTTTATATTCTTAATTGAAAAATCGATACACTAAATTAAAAACTGAATCGTACTTTATATGATGAAATCTATAACAAAGTATGCGATTTCGAAAGAAAAGTTGCTACAGCAAGTCAGCTGCAACTGAAAGCGAAAGAAAAATAAAATTCTCTCTTCCCTTTCGTTCTTCATTCTTTCATACAAAAATACATCCCCTCAATTGTTTTGAAACAACCGCACTTTGGAAAATAATATAGCATTTTGATAGCATGTTAATAAGCATCAAAATTGCATCACAATTTCAATAAGATATGAAATGTGAATGCAACTTCTCTACAGCAATGATCGATCCGTATTATGAACAAAAACCAGCATTAGGTAATACTATCACGCAACGGTCCCTATTTATAGTTGCAACCATGGAATGGGAAAATGAAGTGGCGTACGCTATGACCCCTCTCAAAATCTTAACTGTGCCTATAGGTGGTTGGCCTCTGCAAGAATACAATAAGTTTGCTTTAACTCGCCATATTTTGTCTACTTGCGGATTGGTATGTTTCTCAATTTTACGTTTACAGCAAGAACACCATACCAGGGTTTCTCCTCTGTTTTCGATATATGTGAAAATTAATTAAAAAACAATACGTATTATATGATTTTACCGAGAGATCAAGGTTGAACGTTTAAAATAATATTGATGTGAAGAACGGATATAAAGCAACTTTGCAAAATAAATCGATCGATTCGTACTTTCTATGCAGAGCGTGATGGTGATCGTACAAGCTCTCGAGCTCTATTACAATTGTACTGGCGCGTACGCGAATCTCGATGCTCTGACGCTTTTGGCATGCGGTATTCTCGCTTTGTTAAAAATAATATGGTTCCGCTTATATGCCGATAATCTGATCTGCAATTACTCTTCTGCCATGAATGATTATCTCGCAATCGACACCGAGGAGAAGCACACCGTCATGCGAAAGCACGCCTCTTGGGGAAGGATGATCTCGATTATCGCTTTGTTGATTACTTATGTCGATTCACTCATCTTCATCGTGGGACATGTGTCAGTAAGCAGCGATGAAGGTAAAGTTAATATAACCATTCTAGGCCATCAGGCGGGATACGCTGTCCCATCGACGTGTACCTTGACGCACTTTCACATCTCGACGAGCATGTATTTGGTGATTTTCGTGCTAGAATATATTTATTTGATGGTCATGTGTACCAGTAATCATGGTAAGACATTGGCAATAATATTAAATATAAATAACAAAATATTTATTTATATCTCTCTTAGACATTATTTCAGGTATTTTTTAAAGTATTTATCACACACACACGCGCGCACACACGCACACATGCACACGCGCACATACACATACACACATACAAATACACACACATACAGATGTACATCTCGTAATGAATTTTCTAAATTCTGCGTTTCTGTTTTGAGTGCATGGTAAATATTTAGAACAGGACACCAAGCTCAAATTGACCTTAACAATAAATGCCAAGGTCACCACTCTGAGTAAGCACCAAAAAGTTTTAGCCGTCGCTCGTTGTTTATTAAAAAGTTATAAATAAAAAATGTTTCACGAATCATTCATAATTTTCTTAGCAGATTGATTTATTTACATGCAATAAATCGAATGCGTGAGCGAGGAAGCTTTTCCTGCATCCCCTGCACTCCGAAAAAAAACTAACCTAACCCAACCCTTTTCCGAGAGGCATGAGAGAGATATTTTCCGCCCGCGCCGTTAAATTATCACGTTTCAAGAAACGTAAATATATTGTAAAAATGTTTTGAACATAAAAATAAACAACTTATTGAATAAAAAGTACAGAATCAGTTCTTCGAATTTTTTTTGTTTAGAAATTTCCACAAAAGGTCGTTATATTGTTGTCATGTAGTAAATATTTTCCTCTTATTTGTGAACTTGTGTTATGGAAATATCATCAAATACGCAGTCTTTATTGTAAATTCATAACCTTAACATATTTACTAGGCGGAAAATGCCTTTCTTTCATGCATCTCAGAAAGATTTTGGGTTAGGTTAGGTTTTTTTGGGGGGAGGGGGTGCAGGGGGAGTTGCTCTGTCCCTCACGCATTCGATTTACTGCAAATAATATATAAAATTACTATAGTAATATTTACGGTAAATATAGCGAAAAGGGGACCCAGCCCCAATGACCTTGACCTTGATATATACTCTTCTGCCATGAATGATTATCTCGCAATCGACACCGAGGAGAAGCACACCGTCATGCGAAAGCACGCCTCTTGGGGAAGGATGATCTCGATTATCGCTTTGTTGATTACTTATGTCGATTCACTCATCTTCATCGTGGGACATGTGTCAGTAAGCAGCGATGAAGGTAAAGTTAATATAACCATTCTAGGCCATCAGGCGGGATACGCTGTCCCATCGACGTGTACCTTGACGCACTTTCACATCTCGACGAGCATGTATTTGGTGATTTTCGTGCTAGAATATATTTATTTGATGGTCATGTGTACCAGTAATCATGGTAAGACATTGGCAATAATATTAAATATAAATAACAAAATATTTATTTATATCTCTCTTAGACATTATTTCAGGTATTTTTTAAAGTATTTATCACACACACACGCGCGCACACACGCACACATGCACACGCGCACATACACATACACACATACAAATACACACACATACAGATGTACATCTCGTAATGAATTTTCTAAATTCTGCGTTTCTGTTTTGAGTGCATGGTAAATATTTAGAACAGGACACCAAGCTCAAATTGACCTTAACAATAAATGCCAAGGTCACCACTCTGAGTAAGCACCAAAAAGTTTTAGCCGTCGCTCGTTGTTTATTAAAAAGTTATAAATAAAAAATGTTTCACGAATCATTCATAATTTTCTTAGCAGATTGATTTATTTACATGCAATAAATCGAATGCGTGAGCGAGGAAGCTTTTCCTGCATCCCCTGCACTCCGAAAAAAAACTAACCTAACCCAACCCTTTTCCGAGAGGCATGAGAGAGATATTTTCCGCCCGCGCCGTTAAATTATCGCCCCCCTCCCGCTCCCACTCCGCTGGTAGGCAGGGTGGACCTCGCTTTGCAATGTAGCATGTACTTTGTAAGTTGTAAAGCGAGGTCCACTCTGCCTACTGGCGGGGTGGGTGCGGGAGGGGTGCCTAAGGCCCCCCCTTGCACACCCCCGTGTGTGTGCATGTGCGCGCGCGCGCGCGTGCTTCCTGTCCGTGCATTTTTTTGTTAATAACTATTTAATAAGCAACGAGCGACGATTACATTAGAAGAAAAAGTTACTCAGAATTATGTCCTTGACAACAAATATCAAGGTCAAGGTCATTGGGGCTGAGTTCCCTTTTCGCTATATTTACCAAATTAGCAATTGTGCAATTTGTGAAACATTTTTTGTTTATAACTTTTTAATAAACAACAAGCAACGGCTAAAGTTTTTTGGTGCTTACTCCTTGACAACATATGCCAAAGTCAAGACGATTCGAGTTTGGTGTCCTATCCTAAATATTTATCAATTTTTTTTATCGATATCCGTGAGATTTTATCTTTAATATGAGTTATTTTTTTATATACTTCTAATAGCATCAACAAATATGAAAGATATTGTTAATCATAACTTTTTTAAGGTAGCGATTCTCTGTTCCTCCACATTACATTGCACATTTGTGGTCAATTGAAAATTTTAAAGACCAGTTTTATCAACTTTGATGTTACAAGCCCGGATGTTTACAAACGTTTTAATGTACTAATTCTGAGACACGATCATTTGATAAGAATGGCTAGAAAGCTCGCTGAGATAGTCAGTTTTGTTTTAGTGGTACAATTATTTATCAGCAGTATGCTTATATGTATAGTAGGTGAATATGCTGTCAGCGTTTTGATACATTTGATACCATTTTGCATCGGCAAAAAGGTACGCGAGATGCTAGAAAAATTTATATTAGACGGATATATATCTTTACAGGATTTCAATTTATTGTTGCGTTGACAACTAGCGATTTTAGTATGATGTCAAAGAGTTTTATGGTACTTAGCGCTTTTTTGGCCCAATTAACGGTATATAGTATCGTCGGAGATTATTTAAAAACGCAGATGGAAGAAGTCGCGCAGTCTGTTTATCAGTGCGCTTGGTACAATCTTCCTGCGAAAGTGGCAAGAAACATAGTGTTTATCATGATGTGGAACCAGCTTCCGATCAAATTGCAAGCTGGCAATTTTCTTGTGGTGGATCTCGGAACTTACATGAGCATTCTAAAAACTTCTGCTTCATATTTGTCTGTTTTACGTGTAATGATGGACACATAAAACATCTGATACATGAATAATATTTCACTAATTAGACATTTAGAGAAACATTATAATAGAATTTTAATAAAATTGCTAATTATATTATCAATATACATTCAGCTATAGTATTTATGCTAAATCAAGAATTACTACTGTAACGGGCCGCTTTCGCGAATGCGCGGATTAGCTTTGCCGGGATCAGGGCTCGAGAAAGTGGTGAGACACACGTTTGACAAAGATGTAAATGAGTCAGCTTTATTCTGCCTCTATCGGCACAGGTCAACGTACAGTTAAGTTCCCGCGAAGCGGGCGCGCGGTGGGTGACAATGCGCGAATATTAAGGCGAGCGCGCTAGTTGCCCGGTGCGCGACGATAATTAATCGGCGGTATTATAAGGTGACAGTGATCGTCGCTAGTTTCGAGATATTGAAGTATATGAATATCGGGCGTCGTCGGCGAACGGCAAGACCGTGTTTATTTTGACGGCGCGCG